TGGGTTTAAAAACACATCACAAAATAATATATTTACTGAGACTTTCCACCAGTCGTGGGACCATCAAGTCCTTTAAAAAATTATACCTTCTGATCCCTAACCAATATTGACTGGTTTGGAGATCAATACGGTATAAAATTGACTGGACTGCCCTTCAATCAACCAGTAAGAGTCAAAATTCATGATCATGTAATAGAATAGAATAGAATAGAATAGAATAGAATAGAATAGAATAGAATAGAATAGAATGTCCGCTCTATTGTCACATGAATGGCAAAAATGGGCACACTACATTACCTGGTGGTTATAATTATTGGGGTCTGACCATGCTACTGCAGGGACTGGTCTGACATCTGCTCCCAAGGTTTGAAGTAACTCAATTTTTTCCTGAAAATATGCAATATTTTTAGTTCCTAAAATCAACTTTCATTTTTCTTCAAAATATACCATCACATTATAGTTTTTTTAATGTAAATACAAGTGTCTATATTTCCACTTTAGACAGCACTTTAGCAAATCAGCCACTAGTGTTCTAATGTGTTATTTTATCATTAAACTAATCAATTTTGGGGATTTTGGAAGATATATATATATATATATATATATATATATATATATATATATATATATATATATATGGGATCTAGATGTACAAAAAAAAAATGAATATCATGCAGTTTGCCCTAGTTTCACCAGAAAGGCAATCAAACAACAATCCTAATTTATTTCAACAACAGCTTCATAATTCATACAGAAACATTAGGAATAACTTTTGAGACTCTAATTCAAGTACTTTTCAAGGACTTTTTGAATGTAAATGAGGACAACTTACTGTCATTTGTGAGAGTACATATCAAAGAAAAAAGACACATAAATTTTGAATTTTACACACTGACAATGAAACCCAATGCATGAACTACCACAAAACGAAATGAATAAAATCAAATTATCTCCAAAAATAGTATTCTCTCCTTCTGCATGTTATTTTCCATATTCAGGTTAAAACAATAAGAAATAAAATAGAATTTTGACAAAAAGCTAAGTGATAAAATCGTGCTTTTCAAGGATAAAAATGATGGGATACATGCCCCTTTCAAGGATAATATTGTAGCAATTTTAAATAATAATCAAAGCCATAAACTGAATCCAAAGTGCAAAGCTCAATTCTACCCCTCTATCAAGCGAGCATGCATGATCCTCCAACATAAAACGTAACTTTATTTTATCCATGGATGAGAAATACAGGTTTGGGGCTTTAAAAAACTTACATGTGACTGTTTATTGAACTTACATGTGACTGTGTATTGGGCATGTAGATTACACACTTGTACCCCATGGCCAGACACAGGTGTGCCAAACCTATCCCTGTGTTACCTGCCGTCCCCTCCACTACTGTTCCTCCAGGCTTCAGCTCACCTTTAAAAAAATGACTCTGAATATGTAAATAGAATTGGTTCAGCAAAATCATTACCTTAAATAAGTTTTAAACTTCTGGACTTCTAATTGCAGGTTATATTCTGATAAATATATCTCCTGATTTCAATGCATGGCTTCAAAAACAAGAAGGTGATATCAATTGTACTTACCGCTTTTTTGCGCTTCCCTAATGAGGAAATAAGCTGCCCTATCCTTGACAGATCCCCCACCATTTGCAAACTCTGCTTTGGCCAGTATCTCACAGCCTATAAGTAAAATTGCAGAAATACATAAAATATGGGTTTACATCATGGCAATTGTACACAACAAAATATCCAAACATGGTGTATGTAGATCATTCATAAATGTGAGTTGCCCCACATCTAGATGTCCTGTTCTTGCCATTTTCTGTGCTATAGGTCAGATATGCCACTTGTATTAAGGTGTGTGTGTGTGTGTGTGTGTGTGTGTGCGTGTGTGTGTGTGTGTCACATACACCTCACTGATTCATGGTGCACACATTTATCATTTATGGTTGTTCATTTGTGACCACCTTATACATTTTACATAAGGGATCAGTAATGATTGTTAAGGTTATGTATGAAAACATTTATTATATGTAGTTTTTTCACAGAGAAATATGGTTGGTGAGTGGGATTTTTCTGATCCTGTGTGTGTGTGTGTGTGTGTGTGTTAGCATGAAAATTCATGAGTCAGCACTCCTATTGACAATTCTGATATGTACTGTCTGTGCTAACAGACAGTACATATCAGAATCGTTAATAAGAGTGCTAATGCATGAATTTTCTTGCTAGTGTGTGCATGTGTGCGCGTGAGTGTGTGTGTCAGCTCAAATACTCATATGGGTGCATGCAAGTGCACATTTTATCCTTCTGGTTATATCAATGGACAGAAAAATATTTACCAGTCTCATCACTGACTTTATTCAAGCGGACAAGAGGAGTCCTGAAAGCATAACAAGATCATCAGCATGGCTGAAAATGCTGCCACATGAATTACAGGATGTTTGTTCACAAGAAATAGGTCATTTGGTGCCATTTTTTGAGTGAGAAAATGCTTATACCAATATCAATATCAAAAATTGTTTAACTATAAAACAAGCCAACAGACAAAAGTCTATCCTATATCATTTGCAAATTACCCATGATACGTACCTGCCTACCATACCAACCAACCCATGCCGTATGTTCCACTAAAATAAAAAAGCATTAATATCTTTAAAATTGGTTGTAATTGGACTCCACGCACACAATAGATACTACAAATGAGAATCAACTGGATCTAAAGTACCCGTGCAACACCCTTGCTTTCTGTGTGATCGGGCAATGCGATGACTCGGCTCGTTTTTCTGATAAGATTTAAAACCCAGATACTAACTTTTATATACTATGTCTAACTCTACATATTTCTCCGTGATACAAGGGTAATAAAAGATACATACATCAGATGAATAAAACCTGGAACTTTGAAATGTAACTGACTTAATTATCCGCAACTTTCTCCAAACTTTCCAACCCGCGCCTGCCATGATACAAGTGCATGTGTTTACAAAGCACCAATGACCTAAAATAGCTTAAAAACTAGGTCAAGATATACTCTGGATATTATTGTAAATTATTTAACATTATGTACTTCGAAATGAATTGCATTTTGTTTGAATGCCATGATGCTCATTTTTATTTTTCACTGGTAATATGTAGCTAAGACTATCATCACGGTTTACAGAAGATGAAGAGGGTAAGTTTTGCTGCGCGCGCCAAAGTTCATATGCGAACACAATACGATGTTTACAATACCACGTGCTACTCAAAGCACGTTGTAAGGTCAAGGGTCAAGTACATAACTCTGGCCTGTCAATAGAGTTTTATTTTGGGCTTCACATAGTGATTTTGTTTGTATAAAAGTAGTTAAATAATGCAGTACCTTATCATTTGAAGTTTGAATTTGGAAACTGCCTTCGGTTCAGTCGACAGCGATAACTTTGCTCAAGTTTTAAAGCAAGCTTCACGGAATAAATTATAGTACCGCAAATTTACGGGTTGGTGCCAGCAAACGCAGAGGCGATACGCACGCTGGCTCTGAGTCAGACCAACAGACACAGGTAGAAATTAACAGATATTCAAATGCATACCAATTACAATAACTGTTAATTTCTTTCAGTTTTTGTTGAAGGGTGTACATATAATCATTGGTGTATGGATCATGTAAGTACACTGTATGTGTGCACGCTAATTTTTTCCGAGGGGAGGGGGGGCTTCAAGAAAGGGAGTCACTAGCTGGAACGTAACCTGTCCTATGACATTTCCTTTTTCTTTGTATTTTAAATTATTGATATTTTTATCTGGTTTAATGTGCTGTTTAGATGCGGTGCTTTGCTTGATGAATGTGTGTTTCCCAGTTATCAGTAGTACCCATCTGAAATGTACCAGTACTAGTACCAGCACTTATTTTATTTTGGTAGGGCATATCAACATGTACTGTAAGATAATTAAGTGTTTATTTTGAAATATTTATATTCAAAAACTCAGAAGAAAAAAATTGATAAGCAGGTTCTTTTTAATAATACAGTACATTCATTCAAGTTATTAAATCAAGAAGAAAAATTAACTGCATGAATAGATTATGAAGATATAAGACCGCATTCTCAACAAATTGAGCCAGGCTTTACAAATCCTGAGACTAAAAATGGCGGACGTACATGAAAGAAAAAACGCCTAATCTTTTAATAGTCTCTCCGCCTCTCAGTGAGAGACTATTAAAGATTAGGCGGTTTTTCTTTCATGTACGTCCGCCATTTTTAGTCTCAGGATTTGTAAGTCCTGGCTCAATATTCGTTGAGAATGTGGTCTAATAAATGCTTGTGCTGTCTCCGTCAAATGGTGTGCCCCATAGTATTTTTCTTTCTCCAGACTGGTGACACTTTAAGGTTATTTATATATCTTTGAGCTTTATTTTTAACTTATGTGATCAGTGTGGGGTATTTGTTGACATATTATCAGTGGTTTCAGTTGTGTATGCATACTGTATAAGTAGGTACAGTACTTCTGGGTCATGATTTTAGTTATCAGCAGATATCAAACGTGGGTGTTAATTTTGGAAATGAGCAGAATGCAGTAGGTATAGACTTGAGTTTAAAAAGAGGAGGTCATTATTTCAGTCTGACAGTTTAGCAAAGAAGTGCAGGTATTGACAGACTCATTGAGAAGAGCCAAGGTCTAGCAAGGCCGAGACCTAAATATGGCGGACCTACATGAAAGGAAAACTGCGTAATCCTTTAATAGTCTCTCAATAAATGTCAATGAATGTCATTGAGAGACTATTAAAAGATTACACGGTCTTCCTTTCATATAGGTCCGCCATATTTAGGTCTCGGCCTTGCTAGACCTCGGCTCTTCTCGATGTGAATGCTCTCATAAACTACCGTTTTATGAGGCAACTTCAATTTCTTACTTTTACATATTATTTGTAACTTTGAAATTATATAACACAAATGTTTCTTACTTTAGGTCATGATTGTACACATTTTTCATTTTTCCCCCCCCCCCCCCATTTTTTTTTTCAGGTGTAAGCAGAAATGGATACTGTGAACTGCTCTGATGATATCCCTCATTCCTGGGAGTATTTCCAGGGTAAATGAAATTATAAATTTATGTTGGGATATTTGTTAGGCATTAATTTACAACAGAAATCACAATCACATGAAATAAGGAAAATTATATAAATTATAATAAGAAAAGAGTGTTTTTAAAATTTATTTTTGTAGTGTGAAGTTTTAAAATTGTAATGTATAATGTACATGTATTTGTGACCAAAAGTTCTTTAATTGTCTTATACTTTTACACTATACAATGTATGTCTTACTTTTTTACGGAAATCTTTTATCCCTTTATTTCTTTAATTTAATATGTCAGGATTAGATGTTGGAGGCATTGCACTGATCAGTATTTGTGGATTCTTGACCATGATCACAGTGATCTTATACTTGGTTGAAATAATGTATATCAGGAACAACATAATGGACTGGACAAGAAGACAGAAAACAATACTTCTATTGGGCCTGTATCCAGTGAGTCATATTTAATTGAGGAATAAGCACACTAGTATTTCTAGAAATCTGACTTAAAATGCTGATATCATTTTTGAAGAAATTGAAAATTTCAATTTTTGTTGACTATTTCAGTTGCTGTTGTAAACATGTTGATATTTACTCTAACCAGAATGTCCGGAGTTTGGTATTCTTATTTGGACTAGGTATTTGTTTTCTGCCTAAGTCAGCATGTATTCTATGTTTTCAAAGAATTTTAATTCAAATATTCCGTGTTCTTTGTTCCTATAGGTATTTAGCTTTACTTCCATGATGGGAATATGTGTTCCCAGGGCCAGTACCTTGGCTACTTTGGCATCTACTATGTGAGTACCCCTCTGCCTCGCTTCTTATTCCTGTATTCTCACTATCTGCATATTAAATAATGAGATATTGTAAAATGAATCATCAGATTTATCTTCTTTTTGATAAAGATAAGGGGCCATTAACAAAATATGTGGTATTCAGAATGTAATTTTGTGTAACATTAGGTTATGAGTAGAAAATTTTCTTTTCTGTGTTTTAATTTCAGCTACCTCTCCATTTGTATCTTTGCGTTTCTTCATCTGATGATCAACTACTATGGTGACAATGAGAGCATGATTCAGCAGTTATCCCAGTATTCCATTCCTCTCAGAAGTCCTCCATGTTGTTGCTGTTGTTTCTGTCTTCCAAACATTAAACTTACAATGTAAGTGATACTTTTTACACACCCCAATTTTTTTATCTATTTTATTGTAATTTAAAAATAACTACTGCTGATGCAATTATCATGAAGCAGAATCCCTGTTGAAAGTAATCACAACTTACACATTGTTTGTCACACCTAACACATTCTTTCCATCACTTTCAATATAAAGACACCCCCCCCAAAAAAATTTTTTTTTCAAATTATCAGTTTTTTAAAGATGCATACAAAGTCAATTTTTTGCCACTAAAACCAACCAAATGCCAGCATGTAGTTTCAAGTAGTATAACTAAGAGAATTACCAAAAGGCATTGTTTAATTTTACCCAAAAATGATGTTTGAACAGATTTTTCTGCTAGCATTCTATGCTGTATGTCAATGGGACAAAAAAGTACAGTAGGTCAAAAAAGTAGGTTAAATTTCCGACCAAAAATTTAAAGAAAGGAGCAGTCTAAAGCTCTTTTATAGCTGATCGAGTGATCTATTCAGTTTATCCCTTGGCATGTCAAATTTATTTGAGTTGTATAAGAAACTAGTAGAAGTGGTTTACATGTGTTACTGGGAAACCACGCTCCACCGATGCTCGGTTCGTATGTACCTTTAAATTATATAACAAAAAATTATGAAAATCATGTTAATATTTAAGTGTTTGTTTATATGTTTCAAAAATGTTTCTTTTCAGAAAAAATTTGCGTATCATCAAAAGACTAGTTCATCAAATTATAATAGTGAGCCCTATGGTAGCATTCTTGTCTGCTGTGTTTTGGGCAGATGGACTTTATACTAGAAATTTTGTAAGTATGTTTACAATGTTACAACAAAGAATTGTTCAAAAATACTGTATTGCCCCATCCATAACACTAACACTCCCTCAAAAAGTAATCACAACTTACACATTGTTTGTCACACCTAACACATTCTTCCCATCACTTTCAATATAAAGACACCCCCCCAAAAAAAAAAATATTTTTTTTGCATGTTCAGTCAAGTACAATAGACCCCCAATCATTTTTTATTATATACGTTATTCTTTGGTTTTTCTATATACATCTGAAAATCTTAAACCACTTTTGATTAATATATTTTTTCTTTTAGGGGAATCCCATGTCTGCCTATACATATTTGACTGCAATTAAAGTTGTGAGCACTTTGACAGCTATGTATGGTTTGCTCTTACTATTCCGTGTCTCCAGACTCCCACTAAAACATTACAGTATTCAGCCTAAGTTTATATTGCTACAGTTAGTTCTTGTTGCGGCCAACCTTCAAAACACTGTCACCACACTGCTGGCCACTGTTAAAGTCATTCCTTGCACCTCGCTGATGCCGTCCAGTTCAAGAGCACAGTGTAGGTAGACTGTTAAATGCTATATTTTTATGTACAGACACAGATGTATCTGTACATATTGCCATCACCTGCGTCTGTCGTCGCCGATGTTGTCGCCGTCGCCATGCACTTTCAGCGTTAACACCATAAGTGGAAGACAGTTTTACTTTTTGGCTTTATATTTACAGAGCTGACTAATATTCATAAAACGCAGGTCAAGTTCGAAAATCAGCATGATCGGGCCATTATTGTAGAATTTATGCTGTTTTTTCACTTTTTAGCATATATGCAACACTGTTAACACATTTCAAGGAAAACCGATAGGCCTGTTGTCATGAAACTCACAGGAGTAATCAATCTTACTAAAACGCAGATCAAGTTCAAAAATCGGCATGATCTGGCCACCATTTTAGTAGTTATGCTGTTTTTATTTCACTTTTCAGCATATGTGCAACACTGTTAACACATTTCAAGGAAAACCGATAGACCTGTTGTCATGAAACTCACAGGAGTAATTAATCTTACTAAAACGCAGGTCAAGTTCGAAAATCAGCATAATCAGGCCATTATTTTATAAGTTATGCTGTTTTTTCACATTTCCTCAGATTCAATTCTTAGGCATGTTAACAGTCTCATTATTTAACTAATAAGATTCG